TGAAAGGTTAAGATGCAAATCGACTGAACAGCGGAATAACTGGTCACTATGATGTGCACTGACCACCGGGGGGCAGATGCTTATTGCAGCAGCTGTCCCCTAGTGGTCAGTGTGCTCCCACAGGGGGAGCTCTGCTCAACCACAAGCCAGGCTGATGGCTGCCAGTAAAGTGGTGGTGGTGGGAGCCTCTCCTGCCTCCTCAGAAGCTCTAAGGATGTCCAACTGCAACTTAGGCCTGCTCCCCGCTGGCAGGTGGACATGCCCTGAGGGGTCCCAGACTGTGAGAGGGCACAGGCTGGGCTGAGGGACCCCCCTCCCCGAGTGCACAAATAATATATCCCTATTAGCAGAGTCATCCAAATATTTCCATTTAAAAATGAAATTAAAAACATAAAAGTTCATGATTTGGGATACTGACCAGGAGCAGAGAAATATATTTGACATAAGCTTATTTTAAACAAAATAATACATAAATTGTTATAAACACCATGAAATGATGAATCTCAAAGTTTCTGGGGCTTTGCAGATATTAGTTCAGTTTCCTATACAGGTTTTGAATCCTCTCTAAGATGCCATCAAGTTTTTAAACTTAAAACCTCTATTATTATATCATAATTATTTAAATATTTATGAGCTCTCGCTAAAATTCCATACTAAAATTTAGTGTAAAATGTTCCCTGTGCAAATGAAATCTATATTTTCAGAGTATTATCTAGTTATATTTCTTTTATTATAACATAATGCCTTAAGTAGTGGTTCTCAACCTTTTGGTCTTTTAAATACAGTTCCTCGTGTTGTGACCCAACCATAAAATTATTTTTGTTGCTGCTTCATAACTGTAATGTTGCTACTGTTATGAATCGTAATGTAAATTTCTGATATGCAGGATGGTCTTCGGCGACCCCTGTGAAAGGGTTGTTCCACCCCCAAAGGGGTCACAACCCACAGGTTGAGAACCATTGCTGCTTAAGGTTATTAAATTCACTTTTTCAAATTATCTAAGTTGTATTTGTCATTGATACATGTATTTAGCTGTACCTTATATTAATAAAAACGTAGGACCTTACTTCCTGCCTGCTGGGATAGGAATATGTTCTGCAGAGAACAGATCCACACCTCCCTCAGGAGAGAGTGTGGGCTCCCCAGTCCCACAGGGAGCACAGAGCTCTCCCCGCCCCTGGTCTGTCAACACTGTGGCCTCAGCAGGGACAGCGGGGACATGGGAATGGCACTGAGATGGCCGTGTGCCAGGACCCAGGCCGGGCAACCTTTCTTTGCTCCAAATATTCTGCTTCTGAAGTGAAGAATTTGAATCAGGTCATTTCTGAAGTGCCCTGACTTTCTCAGACCTGCGGGTGCTTAAGTCCACGTTAACTCAAAAGTCATAATCAGTACCTACCTGGCTAAGAAGGCGGCGTTTACAGCATTGGGCTGGATATAAATGTAATTTAACCTAATTTTTTTTTTTTGCTAGTTTAGCAAGTTTCGCCTCCTGGCTGTACTAAGTCAAAGTATTTTTCAGTTCACGGAGTTAACTGCAGAGGCGCGGAGTGATGCCAGGGAGCATCCTTAGCAGGAGCCTCTGGGCCCCAGCTCCTCCTGTGTCTGGGTGTCTGTGGCCGCGTGTTCTTGCCTCGCTTCACCACTAGGGGTCATCGTGACGCGGGTCTGAGGGGAGGAAGCTTTAAGCCTGAGGATGTTTTGGGGTTTGTATTTTGTTGTTCGTTTTGCCTTTTCTTTATGACGTACATAACTTCAAAGATGACGTCTATGTGAGACGGCGTTATGCTGGCATGGCGATGAAATCGTTCTACCGTAGCACGTACTTCTATGGAAAGAGGGAAAAAAGCACGTTGTTTCCCATCCTCTACTCAGTCACTTCAGATTCAGCGTCTGCTTCTCATTGCAAACTTCCTGCATTTGGTTTTTCTTTTGTATTATCAGTTGCTCCAGGAAATCAACAGAATTTCTAAGTGTTTTACAAT